TATATATATATATATATATATATATATATATATATATATATATATATATATATAACGTTTATATATATATATGTGTGTGGGTGTGTATACACACGTGGTAAACCTCATGCGTAACTATCTATCTATATATGTGTGTGTGTAACACTTATATATAATTAAAAAATATGAATATGTACATATATATGTGTGTGTGTCTCTGAGTGTGGGCGTGTGTATTTCTCTCCGTGTGTACTGAGACGCATATTAACAAATTCTCGTGCTATCTATATTTAAAATAAATTTTTGTTATATATATATATATATATATATATATATATATATATATACACACACATATATATAAATATGTGTGTGTTTGTGTGTGTTTGTGTGCATGTGTAAAAATTTACATGTAACTAAAATTATATATATATATTTATACATACATATATATATATATATATATATATTTGTATGTATGCATGTATGTATGTATGTATGTATGTATGTATGTGTGTGGGGGGCATCATATTTTCATTCAAGCCGGCTTGGTTAAATAATTTAGACGTGTCTATTTATTTTAGTTTCAATCCTGCAAAGCCCATGAAGGAATTTGTTTGTTTATATATATATATATATATATATATATATATATGTACGCAAAGAAATTGCAGTGAAAAACAAATTGTGTATATATGCGGGTGGTGTAAGTATTAGCGACTCGTCACAAGAAAACGCTCAGCCGAGTTCGAATTCCAATCATTCGCTACATTTAGATTCGCGCAAGTACCAAATCTATGAATCCATATTTCTGGCTTTCCAAAATCTAGAATAATGGTGCCCTCTTCCGCCTTGGTTGCCAACCTTTCTAGAAGAAGGAAAACAACGTAACTTTCAAAACCGTCCAGATAGGAACCATCTCAGTATTTGGTCGTGTAACAAGTTGACAGGCGATATATATATATAGGTGTGTTTGTATATTTATATGTGTATGTATATATATATATATATATATATATATTTATATGTGTGTGTGTGAAAAGAAAGAGTAAATGTAAAATGTTTATTAATCTAACATGCTTCACTTTTATTAATGTTTCAACAGAGTATTCTGTTATTTTTACTTTTGTGTTCTTTGATTTTCATTCGTTGATCTGTTCAAAATTTCTTCGACTCAACGGTAATCAAAGACGGTGGAGCAGTAAGTTTTGCGAAATACGCCTAGTCACCCGACCCAATTTTAAACAGGGTTCAAATAATAGAAAGAAGAGCGCGCAAAATGTCTATGTTCGCGTAATATTCTTCCCAAAAATAAAGATGGGTGAATGGAAGAGAAGGTAGACCTCAAATAATAAAGAGCAGACTTGAGCATCCCACTCTTTCCGTTAACAAAATACTAAAGTGCCTTGGAACAGCTTCGCTTTGATAAACCAGAATCCGTCAACCATTCACTTTCTACGTCCGACGCCCGTCCCATAATCGCAGGTAATTTCACTTATTTTTCCATAAACAAACATCACATAATTTGTGGCGTTTTCTATACATACAGAGTGCGATGGATAAATTATCGTCGAAATTACACTGTTATCACATTTTAACAGATACAGTCCTGTTCGATAAAACTGACTCACCTGATTTTTTTTTTACTTAAATTTTTTTTCACCCATAGTTTTTGGGGTCAAACTAAATTTTAATCTTACTAATATAATATGACCAGCTAGTAAAAAAAGTTTACTCACCCTAAGGTATTCTATTGATAATTATAATTTTGGATATAAATGAGATTTAGGGAAAAACTCTATGCAAAAAAAAGTGACTCACTTATTTCCTGCAACTAGTAATCAATAGAAACATAACTGAACAACTTTAAATAAAGAACAATAGAGGAAATTTTTTTATAATAGGTAATATAGTTCGAAATATTTAATAATCTATGGGTCCTCCTTTATTTTGAATAATCTTTTCAACCCTTTTTGGCATTGACTTGATTAGGTTCTGGCAAATCTCATCTCCAAGCATTGAATTCCATTCGGATATGAAATTCACAATCAAATCCTCTTTGTTCAGGAGATTGGGGCGGCCATGTCATAATACTCACCTGCTTCTCATCAAAGTATTGCTTCATCAATTTTGATTTGTGACAGGGAGCATTATCTTGAATAAAAATGAGCTTGGTGGGGTCGATTTTCACCCTTTCAGAAGAAGGGAGCAGACAAGACTCTAAAATTCTCTTGTACTGCTCGTTCCTGAGGGTCTTTTCAATATGTTTCAAGAAACCAGTTCAATGAAAAGAAAATCATTCCAGAACATTATACTGAACGGATGCTTGACAGTACTTACTGCTAAATTCAAAGAGCTTTCAAAGCTTCTACTTCAGATTTTAGATCGCTTATTCTTTGAATTTAGCTCAACTTTCGTTTCATTGGAGAAGAGAACATTAAGTAAAAAAAACAACAAAAAAACAGCATCGAACAGCACTGTATATTTACCAAAATTACACAAAAATATACTTAAATATTAAACATTAAATTAATTCCATAAAATCACCATTGGCTTCAACCATAGCCTCAATATGACTTCAGAATCTCTTGTAAGTCTTCTGGATGGCCTCCGTGTTTATGTCGGTGAATGATGACATGATTCTTGCCTTCAGTTTTTCTTTGGTGTTACTAGGAGTTTTGGTGGTCTCCTGCTCAACTGCGCCGTACACATAATAATTAAGAGAGTTTCAGTCTGGAGAGTTATGTGACCAGATTGTAAGGATATATGACAGCCATGACTGGTTTATTCTGCTCGTGGAGTTCCCTGGTGCTAGACATGGAGTCTTCTAGCAACGAGATTCTTAACTCAGGGAAGCACTAGTTTCTCGAGGTACTTGATGCACAACTCCGTGTTGAGGCTGAGACCGTCACCAACAGATTCGGGACTTCACTTCTTCAGAACGATCAGAGATTGTTTTCCGACCTGCCGTAGCTTCATGATCACCATTAAACTCATCCATGTCTTTCCGAATCGACTGATCTGTCCACTTGGAAATGTTCGTATTAGAGCTTCTGGTACGCATGTCATGCAGTACAGTATGCCGTTTCAAATTCCTGCCAGAGTCAATTGTGTCATGGTGCATATATATATATATATATATATATATATATATATATATATATATATATATAGGAAAATAAGAAAGAACACGTCAGCTTAATAATCCGGAGTAATTTAGTATTTTTGTTTTTATTTAAAAAAAAAAACACTGCTCCATAAAGAAGTAGTGCTTAAATTATAATTATTTTTTAAAAATATGATTCCTTCTCTACATAAAAGTTCTCATGTTTCAAAAACAAATGCCGAAAACCTCAGTATAATTAAATTAAATTTCATAGTCAAATAAAAGGTATAAAAGCTTAACCTAATCATACGATAGGAAAAAACCTTTAGGAAGCCGTCATAAAACAAATTGTAGTTCATTGTGCCGCGTGTAAGTATGAAACAGCCCTTTAGAAAAAAAATAAAAGGATAAATAAATAAATAAATAAATGAAATAAAACAAAATTGTCTAGACACTTAATGACATATTATGGTGCCAAAATCTATCTTTCACTGTGACTGACCAGATGATGTGCGTACATTAATGCCATCATTTGAAATTTGAAATGGATACCCCCTCACTACCTCGGCTTGATCTCTCTCCGAAGGTGACTTATATGTGGATAAAAATTATCTCTTAGGCTGCTTACCAAAATGGTCGCACCAGCCGTTTCCTTAGTAATTAATTTTGCGAATGAACATGCTTATAAAGATGCGTAGATTTTATGATTGGTTATACTAAATTTTCGCTTGAGGATGAAACAGGGTTTGATACTTTAACACAATTTAATTTTAATAATTATATTGAGGGTTTCGGCTCTCGTTTTTGAAACATGAGAACTTTTATGTAGCGAAGGAATCATATTTTTTAAAAAATAATTATAATATATATATATATATATATATATATATATATACTTTCATACTTTCCCTGACGATCCGTTTAGGTGAAACCTAGGTAGGTTTGTCTGGCTCACTAGGTGTATCTAGGTCTGCTCTACGTTTGTATTGAGCTCTTTTGTTAGTTAGTTGTTTACTCGTATCGGGTTTTTTCTTTGGGCTTCAGACCTGCATCCGTGCGATTTTTTGTCGGCAGAAGTTCATGTTTGTAGCTCTTTCTTTTTTAAAACCTTTTTTTCCCTCGAGATTGATTTGATTAGCAAATCAAAAATTCGAGGGTTTTCAAAACGAGTCTAGTTATCTAGTTATATATATATATATATATATATATATATATATATATATATATATATATATATATATATATATATATATATATAGGTATGTATGCATGTATAATCGGTAATAGAGGCAGCAAATGTTGTTTCGGGCAAATACTATTAAAGCCACAGGGATTTTGTGTGATTAATTTTTGATTTGTGATGGCATTAATTTTTGACTTTTACAACTTAGGAATGATCCTTCTCAGGCAAGAAGGAATCCGATCAGAAATTGTCAGAAATCGTTTTCAGAACAAAAGAACAGGTAATATAGTCAAACATTTCTACTTTAATCATCAGAGCAGGTAGACAGTTGGCGAGTTTAGTAATTATGAAATGCTGTAAAAACGCAATTAAAAAAAAAAAAGAAGCTGTTAGACTATGAGATGCGAACAATGGGCTGATGATGATGCTGATGGCGATGATGATGATGAAGCTTTCTGTTTTTACAAATGTTATGATATACGTATCTTTATGAAAATATTGTGCACAATACTTACTTATTTTTCATCACAAGCGTCATTTCTTAGTTAGACTTTACAGCATTCTTTAAAGATTACAGGTCAAATTTCAGCTAATAAATTATTGTCAAGATGCTGCCTTATTTACACACTGAGAAATTAATTAATTTCACTGCTTGCATTATTAACAATGCATCTTTCATTTCAGTCGTTGAAACAGGCAATAACAGTTAAGCTAACAAGAACGAACGAGTTTTACGGTCATATCATTTTGAAACACCCGGTCACCGATGTTAAGCAACGCTGTGTTTAGTCAGTACTGAGATGGGTGACCGCTTGGGAATAGCAGATTCTGTGTCGGTGGTGTATTGGATATAAATTGAGAATTTGAATCTGAATTGGCTTCGTTTTATTAACTTGCACACACAAAATACCTTTGGGAGATGTATGAATCCACTTTCTCCCCTCTCTATGGATTAATTAGTAGTACCTGTATTAGCAAATCATTATCTCAAAAAATATTCTTAGAATCTAAATATAATATGTGGCTTTAAATATTTTGCAAATGGTTGATAAGCCGTAAAATAACGAATGGAAATTAATAACAAGATCGTAAGAAAATAGTCATTGGGTATATTATTAAAAATGGATTTCTGTATTGGTTAGCGGATAGAGAGTAGGAATTGGAACTCGGTGATCTGAGTTCGTATACCAGTCGATTTCGATACATTCACATACGCGCAAATACCTGTGGGGAATATATGAATTCTTCCCTTCCCCTCCATATATGGGTTAAATAGTAGAACTTAAGTCTGAAAAATCATAATGATTCTTAAAAGACTTTTAATGCAATGTTAATGTTTGCAAACATTTATGCCGATGATATGACTATATACGTACGCACTTTTAAAACTCTCGATGGCCAAAGAATGGCGACCGATCTTTCTTCCGATCTTGTACAAAATACCCAATGGTGTAAAAACTGGCTGGTTATATTCAATGCCGAGAAAACCAAACTAGCTTCATTCTATCATCGTCTATCTTACCCCGAACTACCACCAATCATGAACGGAGTTCGTCTCTGCGAAGTGGCGTGCCTTGAAGGAATATTGGGCCTCAAAATCACACCCGACATAAAGTGGAACTCGTACATACGATCCCGTTGCTGAGGATGCAGATAAAATGGTCGGGTCCCTGTAACCCTTCTGTAACTACCTGATTCCTTCTGCTATCTTCTACCTTTACAAGAGCGAGATCAGTCCCCAAATGGTGTACTATTGTCAAATCTGAACAGGAGCTGTCAAGACCTCACATTCCAGAATTCAAAAGAGTCTCCGAAACTTTGTTGGTGACGAATTCTTCTCCACCCTTTAACTCCTCTCCTACAGGCGGGATGGGGTTGGCTTCTCCCTGCTCTATCTTTACTTCGATGGAAAGTGCTCTGATGAACTACATTCCCTTGTCCCGCCAAAGTAGCAAACAGCCTACATCTCCTCCGTGTTCCATCGGTAAGATGTAAGTTCCACCCGAGAAGCTTCTTCCAATGAACCAATCCTGTGTAGTCGACTGCCAAAACGATGTTTCCCTGATTACTACCATTGTAACCTATTCAAGGCTAGGCTAAATCGTTATCTCCCTCATCTATGCACGCAGATGGCCTCCTAAGGTAACCCTCTACATCGAGTGGCACCAGGGACTTGTAAAGAGTGACTCTCATTGTAAAAAAAAGAAAGGGTTGATAAGTTGTAAAAGCCAAGCCTATACATTTACGTTCGTCTGAATATGAAGTTATCTGTACGGGAATAATTTATTAAATAAATGTTTAATCGCAAAATACAGATGGAGATGTTTAATTTTGGAACAAAAGTAATCAATAATCAATGGTTCCATTAGTCGAGTTCTTCATAGTTCGGAACAGCCGGGCTGTGTAGAATACGTAGACTTATCTTCATTCTCTTCAGATTCCATTGGCAAGGAAGAAATTCCACGCAGACAACTTCTTCCTCGGAACTGTTGCAATGTATTATAGCTACCAAAGAGGGTGCTTACCACATCAGGACAATAGTCCATTCTTCAAGTTAACTGATAACTATACTTTTGCTCTCTCTATATATAACATCGCAATTTATTAAATTTCTAATAGAAATAAATCCCATTTATCTATTTTAAAAGAAGAAAAAAGTATTCGTACAATGCAAATTTTAGATTTTAAAACTTTTAAATTACTTTAATAATCTAGATTGTTCAATGGAATAATCTTAGATGTTCTAATAACGTTATCCGTGTTTTTTTAGACTCAAAAATACAAACAGAATATACTTTAAATGATATTCGCGCAAGAAGGTTTTCATCATGGCAAGAGGCAAAGAATTGTTAAATATGACTTGCCGTTCGGATTCCATTAGTAAGGAAGAAATTCTACGCAGACAACGTCTTCCTCGGAACTGTTGCAATGTATTATATATACCAGAGTGGGTGTTTACCACATCTCGACGATCGTCAACTCTTCAGGTTTAACGTTAATTGATAGCTATACTTTTGCTCCCTCCTTATATAACATCCCAATTTTTTATCTCTTTAATAGAAATAAATTCTATTTATCCATTTTAAAGGGTGAACAAATTATTCATGTGAAATATTCTAGAACATTCCAAGAAAGTTATCAGCAGTTATTTTTACCCTAGAAAATACAAACTGAATATTATTTAAATGATATTCGTGCAAGAAGGTTTTCATCATGGCAAGAAGGAAAGAACTGTTAAATATGACTTGCCATGAATATTTTCTTTTTTTTTTCAGTTATGTACCACGCTTAGGCGATCATGTATCTTTCGATACATGTCTGACTAGGCAGTTTTTTTTTTTCTCGCAGTAGTTTTAAATTTCTTTCAGCCGTAGGCCACTTACAATCCAACACGGTCTGAACTGCTATTTACCCATAACTGTGTGGACAAATCCAGGACTCATACCTTTCCCAAGGATATTATGACGATATGTAATGGATTCGACTAGAATTCGAACTCAGCTCTAGAATTTCTCAAAACGAGCCACTATCCATTACTCCAAAAAAATGTATCCTTTCTGAGAACTGAAAATATGGAAAATAGTTTTTAGTGTGTATTTTCTTACATGCTTTCGAGTAATACGTAAATCCCTTTTGAAGGCCGTTAATTTTACTGGTAAGTAGAATTGTAATATTTATGTTTCTTTACTTACCTATGTATTAGAGACAGTTTAGTTGCACCAATTGCGTATCTCTCCCACATAGATATTTGTTATGGTCCGGTTCCTTGTACCACAGTGATAGTCCAAGGTAGAACCAATAAAGAAGAACGCGAACACAGGTATGGAATAACACCGATATATTACAAACAGGAATATATACAGAGAAGTAGAAGTGTTAGTATGAACAATCAGGTTTAGTAGAGAGAACAATATAGTCTCGACCAGTATCACTATTCCAATGTCTTGCAGTAATTGTCTGAACGCGACTCTGTTTCGGACTGCCTCTGACTCGACTCTTGACTCGACTTGAACTACTGACTGAAGATATTCAGTCACCAAATACGAAGGCGTCATGTGGCACAAGGCCTTTTTAACGTGGGCTCTCCGAGCCAATGGGATCGGCCAAAAATATGCCCATTGAACCCGTATAAAGGGGTTCAGGGTCGGTTTACCTCCCCGAAGGTAATAATATAGATTACATCTATTGAGAATTTCTCCATACACTTAGTCTTGTAAATATGAAGGAAATTAAATAAAAAAATATATTACGAAATATTTTGTTTGCGTTTTATGTAAATTCCTTTCTTTCCTTCTTTTTCCCTAATTAATATGCACTGCGTTTATTTGCATATGTAACCTTTAACAGCCAGTCAATAACACCTTACTATTTTATTTTACTAATTTCAAGCCAAGCTATCCGGTAAAGTTACTTGTCCGCAACGTGTTTTCAGAGACTGAAAGCGAAAGTTAAAGTGAATAAGGAAGATTGATGAAAGGACAAACAATAAATAGTTTTCAAGTAGATAGGAGATGGAGAAAATAACGTTGCATATCAATTTTAAGATTGTAGTTGTCAGGGAAGTAAGAAAACGGAAGTTCCATAGGTGGGCAGTGCGAGAAAGTAAACGGTTGAACTAGAAGTAGGGGGTGCATTTAGCTATTTCAAAAGTGAAGCCGTGGAACTTACTTTCCAATCTAGTATTTCAAGTATTCGGGGCACTATTTAAAAATGATCGCGTTTGTAAAACAAAGACAGACTTCGGTAAGAAAGTAACTAAAGTCGAGATGCCTGGTTAGCATTCATCACATTGGAGATCCTTCATTGGATTTAGTCAAGAATCTGGAAGTGTACAGCAGGAGCTCCATTCATGATATGGTGACATTATTCAATGCAGGGACGAATGGTGGATTTACAATTGTGCAACATAGATCGTGACGAGAAAAAATTTCTAGCACGAAATGGGTCGATTTCAGAGTGAATACCTTCAAGAGAATATTCTTTATTAAAACATTTGTACCGGGTTTTTGATTGCGACTTTATTAATAATCGCTAGCTTTCCTTTCTAGGACAATAGAGAAGGTATATATTGCATTAACACTTTTTTAGGTTAGTATTTATTCTTTGTATAAAATAGGCCGTCTATTTATATAGTTACACTTGTCTCTAAGAGTCCCTTTATTTTTATTGTCCGGGTAAAGATATAGAAAGTTCAGCAGTTATGATGAATGTCTCCCACTTCTATTTATTATAGATCAACGCATGCAAAAAAGAATAATTACTATACAAACTAAACAAACATATAAAAATGCATATACGTGTTTTAATACAAATAACTATCGAGATTGGTGCTACGGTGTTTAAGTGTACAGAGTGAAGCCACTTGTCACAAATAAACCTTGAACTAGGATAAAACTTTCTTGTTTTTAGAAGTTCTTGGAATGAAGGTGTGTAGAGTGTGGTTGATTCACGACATCACAGAGATTCCATCAAGGCTTGTGCAGCTGATCTGGATCAACACAAAATTCCCCAGGTTCGGTAACCTCCATATTTCCAGATCTCACCGGTGGCAACTGTTTCGCCTTCAAAAATCAAATCCATCTTGTGAGGAACATGATTTGAAGACGTCGAGGCAATCCATGACAATTCCATGAGGCAGCTGCTCGATATCCTCCAAAAGAAGTTCAAGGAATGCATCCTTCGATGGAAAGAACGATGGTTAAAGTGCGTGGTTTTGGAAAGGAACTACTTCGAAGGAGATTAGATGCTGAATTTATGCATGTAGTATTCTTTTATAGCTCGAAACCCAATAATTTTGATAAATTTAATCAACTTCAGTATATATATA